TATCGATTTCTTCAGAGAAATTTCCAAATTTTAGAGGGGGCGGCCGGGGGGAAGGATAATATTTGACTATCACGTCCATCACGGCCCGCGAGCGTTACGCATGGCTTGGCGGGGCTGCGGGGCGGCGCGGCGCCGCGTTTATCCCGCCCTTGCGAATTAAAATCAGCAGCTTGGCGCTTTCATTACATTTAGGCACGCGGGCGGCCTCCTCCACCCCGCTCCACCCCGTCGCACCGCCGCCGCTGCAAACTCGCCTCAGCATACTTGTGCCGTACGCGCCGGTGCGCCTCTGCTTTCCTTTATTTCGCTCACCACCGTCGGCCTGGGGGGCGGGGTGGAACGGGGCGGCCTGGCCTGACCGCACTTACCCTATATTGAATAGGTCGGCGTCGGTAGCGGTGTGTGTCCTTGCTCTGGCCCTTGCCCCTGCGGGCACTCATACCCTCCCCTTCTATACAACGCAATGCGCTTCAATTTTCCAATATTGGATGTGCAAAGAGATATTTATTTTTTGCAAAATAATGAAATGTTTTTGTTTTTTGGCTGTCGTTTCGTCGAAGAGAAGAAGGCTGGAATAGTTCTTATTACGAGACGAATTCGAACAGGAATTTGTTTTTCTTGTGGATCTTTGAAGGCTTTGTTCCAACCCTAACAAGCCGTTCCATCCCCAAACGCCGTGCCCTCCGCACCGCAAAGACCCCTCTTACCCCGCCCTCTCTCTTCTCTTCCTCGCTGATATGAAGTTGATCGAGTAAGCGCAGGCGCTCTGGCGGTAAACTCTCCTTGTTATTCAAATTCGTCCGCCGTCATCCATCTCGCTGGGCTCTGCCTCAGCTCGTCTCAGTTCGCCCGCCAGGATCCAGGATCCCCTTGAGTTCGGGGAGGGCGTGAGAAAGGGGAGCGGGGAGTGATGCCCGCCTTGCCTCGGCGTGTATACCTCGACCCTGACGCTTTTATATACGGCGGGCTCCGCGAGTGTCGTGGCCTGGGCCTGCAAGGTGTAGAGCTAAACCAATAGCTAAATACGGTACCACCTTTTATTTAGCTATGTAGCTAAACCTTAGCTATGTTAAGCTTCACAGCTTTTTTAGCAGATGATACCTTACAAACTTAAACTTACTTACACTTAACATACATATAACTATACATGAGTAATGTAAGGTGTCATTGCTTTTACTCTCGATTAAGAAATATTAAAGAGAACCAGAAGAAATCTCATATACGTATTGGGCTGGGCCTGCTAGGCGGGGTCGTGAAGCCGGTGGCGTACGTCGCTCGCCGCCGCCGTCGCGTCAGCCCCGAGCCGAGCCCCGAGCGGAGCCCGAGCCCCGAGCCGAGTCGGCCGCGCTAGCGCTAGCAGCCCCCCTCCCTTCTACCGCTGGAGCCCCCGCACCACACCGCCACCCACCCCCCTCCCTTTCCCCACAAGTGTAAATACGGAAATATAATAGACTGGAGTAGAATAATTCTTGACAAGGTATCATCTGCTTTCACGATCCGTTTCTGGTCGGAACTTTTTAGCTTAGTATGTAATTTTTACGACAGCTAAATTTTTAGCTAAATTTTACATAGCTCATTTTTTTGCGACATTGCTAAAGTTAGTAATCCCGAATTAAGCTATTGGTTAAGCTATATAGTCAATCTGTTTTTGCCGGTGTGGCTTTTCGCAACCCGTGACTTGTTGTAGTCGTGTCGGCGCAGCCCCAAACGCGTGCGGTGCCGAGCGAGGCCTCCCCCGGCGAACAGTATTGCCAACAACACGACGCGACCTGCGCCGTGCTGGGGGCGGCGGGGGCTTGGAGGAGGGGTTGGCGAACTTGTACTCCGCTGCATATTTGATCACGGCAGAGTGCAGAGAGGCAGCCAGTGCGTTTGCTGGTAGGCGTGGCGGCGAGGGGTCGACCTTCCCCGGGACGTGTTCGCTCCCGCCTGGCATGTTGACAGTTGACAGTCGGGCGGTTGGCACGGCGGCACGGCGGCGCTGTGCTGCGGGGGCGCGTGAAGGGAAGGGAAGGGGAGAGCGGCTTTGCTGCGCTTCGCTCTGTCCCCCCTGCCACCGCCTGCCTGCCGCCCCGCCCCCCGGGCCCCGCGCGGATGCGGTGGCGGCAAGGACGCGAAAGTTAATTCGTTAGTGCTGCGCGAGGAGGAAGAAGTTCGACGGATTTGACGACGGAGAGTGGAAGGCGCGGGAGGCCTAGCTCGCGCCCCGGGCCCCGGGCCGCGCACACTTTAAGCAACTCGTCTAAAATTTACGGGGCTGAATTCATCTTCGCGGCGAGCAGAAGGAATGCCCGGCCTGCCGCCGAGGGGGTCGCGGGGGAGGGGAGGGGGTGGGGGTGACGTGCGGAGGGTTCGAGGAAGGACTGGCCTGTGGCCTTGCGGCGAGGGGTGCTGACCGCGAGCGCTCGGCCAGCAGCGCCGCCCGAAGGCCAGGGATGATGTCCTCGCCCCGCACTGTGGGACTAGAGGTTTTAATTTTTCAAAAACACATTTTGGGGAAATTTTCAAAGACTTTCTGTTTTTAAAGTCTAAAGGGTGTTTTTTAATGTAAAGTTTAGGTTTTTTTTATCAAAGTTTCTGGGAATATTTCAATATCGATTTCTTCAGAGAAATTTCCAAATTTTAGGGGGGGAAAATCGACTTTAAAATCCCAACCCTTATGTTGTGTTACAGGACTCGCACGGCAACACGCCGCTGCACCTGGCGGTGTGCCAGGCCGCCGTGCCCTGGGAGGTGGTGCTGGACCTGGTGGAGCGCGGCGCCCGCATCGCCGCGCCCAACAAGGAGGGCGTGACGCCGGCCGACCTGGCGCCCGCGGGGCTGCTGGCGCGCCTGCAGGACCAGATGCTGGCCGAGTGCTGGATGGGCTTCCACAACCACCACGGCGGCCACGGCGGCGCGCACGGGGGGCCGGCGCAGGCGCCGCAGCCCGGCGCGCCCGCGGCCTCGGCGCCCGCCCCGCAGCCCATGACGATCGGCGCGGACCCGCCCAGCACGGGGGCCTCGTCGATGGGGCGCGGCGAGCGCGGCGACCGGGAGTCGTCCAGCGCCCGGGGCTCGGGCACCAACACGGCGCGCATCCTGCGCAAGCTCCGGCCCGCCGCCTCCATCGCCGGCGAGCGCGAGCGGGAGCGCGAGAGGGAGCGCGCGCAGCGGGCCGAGTCCACCGAGGAGGCCTCGTCCGTGTCCTGCGAGCTGATGGCGCGCTCGTCCACGGGCTCGGTGCACAGCAGGGCCTCCAACGCGCAGCAGGCGCGCGCCGCGGCCAGCCCCGAGCCACAGCGGGTGAGTAGAGACCACCACGACCTCGGCCTCCCCTCCCGCACAGCCTGGCACGGCCTCCCCTTGGAGCCACATCATGTCAGCGAGGCTGCGCTGCGATACCTCCTCCCCCACTGAATTATGAATCTGCCCCGGTGGGCCGGGGAGGGTGAGGAGGAGAGGGGGGGGG